CGGCGTTAGTGGTGTTAATATACAAGTTTCTTTCATTGGAGGATAAGGTATATTAAATCGACAATTGTTAGTCTCTTTGTCTTTTGCACTACGATAACAAGTATGTGTATGACGGTGAGTTTGTTTTGATTTGCTATATGCATACGCAGGGCTGTCTTTGGAAACCATGCATTGTATATACTTATTTATAAGGGTCACACAGGCGTCAAATGTTTTTTCCGGCTTGGTAGGGTCAAATTGAGGTGCATTAACAAGCCATAAAATCATATGAACATGAGGGCTTCCACGATGCTGATATTCAACACGATAGAAATAATGGTAAACTGGGTGTTCTTTAAAAATTCCATTTTTATTTTTTATCAATTTAAACAAAGCTCTAAATCTCTGATCAAAATATGTAGCACAAACAGGATCGTCTCTGATTAGATTTGATTTTTCTGCATATGGTAAATTTAAAGCGTCTTTATCAGATATTTCAATTTTGTGACGTAATTTATACAATATTTTCAATAAATCACTCCATGATGACTCACTTGGGCTAATTGTTAAAAATATAGTAGGGTGACCTAACTGTCTTACCATCGCAAAAGTATTTTTCCTTATAGCGGCTAAATGTGATGGTGAATTCTGTATATTGTGTAATAAACGGTAGCCTTGATCACCATCAATCATTCTCGTTAGATTTTCAGAATTTGCAACGTCGCTAGCTCTTAAATTTTCTTTTTTATTTTTACGCATAATTATTTGTACATTACTTGAAATTTGTTTGTGTACAAAAACTTTACATTTGAAAAATAAATTTGGCGTGTCTGCTGCAAAACGCCTATCTGAATTCAAAAGTTCTGATCTAATTACCTTGGAGTAATTTTTTAACGGATCTTTAAGTTTTCTAGGATGGCCACCAAACAAATTAGGAAACGCTTTTTCTTCAGCATGGTCATCGATTAGGATGGATAAGGGTCTCATACCTTCACCTGGAGCAAAAGACACATAGTCACCATTTTCGACCATAGTGTCTATAGTTCCTGGATTTACTGGTTCATCATTGTCACTCTTATCAGACTCTTCACTAACTAACAATTCTGTCTCCTCTGTTATTGCCTGAATATAATTTGTAACATGGCTATACCATTCTTCGTCAATTTCTACGCCTTTATANTATTTGTAACATGGCTATACCATTCATCGTCAATTTCTACGCCTTTATACAATGGTTGGTGTCTAAGATCCATCAAAGCCCTCACAACTAACATAGGGCGAACATTTTGGTACAAATAATGCTGCTTAAAACAAGATTTTCTTTTTAATTTGACTTTCATTATTTTAATAGTAGCCAAATTTTCTGCTCTCCGTGGTAAAATATTTGTTGTTCTTGTCAAATCAATTGGTACGTTTAGTTTCTGACAAACCTTGTGTTTTTTTAAAATTATATTCTGACAGTAATGTTTCCCACTTTTGACGTTTCATGTTTAATTTTTCCTTTTCACGCAACCTATATGAAGACACACGATAACAACGTTTTCTACTACTTGACCCTATGCTGCTATTTGAAGAAGCTCTTCTTTTAAGCAATCGAATATTATTTGCTTTTTTATAGGCCTTTCTCGTATCAGGATCTTCTAATTTTTTTTTCATACTAATTTTAGCAGCTTCTATATTAGCTTTTTTTATAGCTGGATTTTTTAAACGTTTCTTCATGCTCACCTTAGCAGCTTCTATATTAGCTTTTTTTATAGCTGAATTTTTTAAACGTATCTTCATGCTCACCTTAGCAGCTTCTATATTAGCTTTTTTTATAGCTGGATCTTTCAAACGCCTATTCATACTTAAATGAGCTGCTTTTCTATTTGCTTCTTTAATTTCGTTATTTTTTAATCTTCTTCTCATATTTTTTAAATTAACTGCATTTTCTAATTTTCTTTTATTATGATCTAATCGTGCTCTTTTTTTAGAAACTTTCTCATTATTTCGTTCTCTAATTCTGAATTCTTCATTTTTTCGTTTAATATTCATGTAATCGCGTCTTTTTTTATTAAATTTTGCAGTTATACCCATTTTAACCCTTCTAATTTTTTCTTTTTTTCTATTGTCAACTGTATTAAGTTTTTCATCATCATTATATTCTCTGTTTAATAAGTCTACATCATCAATATCATAATTGTAAATGATATCATTAGTAGAACAACAGTTAGAAAATGTCTGACCACTCATAAAAAACTTATTTTCTTTTGCTATTACAACATTTTCATGCGATTCTGAGTTATGTGCTAATATTTTAGCACAATCAGTTTTATAGCTATTGATAGTTAAATTATTACTACTTATATTATAAATGTTTATACATTCTTTATATATTGACCATCTATTGGATTTGTTGATTCGTATTTTAAGTTTTCTACAAATATCATCGATTATATCTGAGTTAAAATTTAAAAAATTTGTAATAGAGTAATCCGATTTTTCTAAAATTTCTATTATTTTAGAACTACTACTTCTATTATTTATTGAAAAACAATTGTCTGTTTCAATCTTAGGACACACGTCATTTTTTTAACATTTTCCTTAGACATGAATTTTTATAGTTAATATAGTGCACAATTCTTTTTTTTAATCTTAGATCATTTGGTTTTTTATAAATTTTTTCGCAGATATTAACTACACAATCATGTTTAATTATTATTTTGGAATAATCTATTTGGGGATATTCAAAACGAATATACTCAGCAACTTCGTTGATTTTTTTATCCAATTTCATTTTTATTTATTGATGCAATGCTAAAAAGGAATTAATACGACTATGTGTTTTATATGAGTATATGTGATTTAACCAAAGCAGATTGAAAGAAATTACAACAAATGTTCTATAACCAACTCGTTAAAACACTATCTGTATACAATGTCTACTTGTATTACTATGACTTTTACTATCAAGTTCGACAACCTTAATGCCAGAATTCTACTTTTAATGGTAGACGGAAACTTACTTTATATAACTGTTCGATAAAATAAATACCAGAATTATATTCTTTAGAGAAACGTAACCTCCCTTTTTATAATTGTTTGACAACGTAAATGTCAGATTGATACACTTAAGAGAAACGTAAACTCCCTTTTGTAACTTTTTGATAACTTAAATATCAAAACTGTATTGAGTGATTATGAATAACTCAATACCTAATAATATAACTAATAATGATTAAAATGAGAAAAGGAAAATAAAGGATGATTTATAAGGACAGTTTTTAAATGAATGAAAGAAAAAATTAGATATGAGGAATAAGAATGTATAATATGGAATAGAATATCAATAGAAATTGTTGAAAGGAAAAGAGAAAATGACTGTTAACTTTAGTTTCAGAACTATAGTCCAAAGAGAAACATAAACTCCCTTTGTATAGCTGTTTGACAACGTAAATGTCAGAACTATAGTTTAAAGAGAAACATAAACTCCCTTTTTATGGCTGTTCGACAACGTAAATGTCAGAACTATAGTTTAAAGAGAAACATAAACTCCCTTTGTATAGCTGTTCGACAACGTAAATGTCAGAACTTCGTTAAGTGATTGTTAACAAGTCTATACCAAGGAGTAAGATGAGAAGAGGAAATTAAAGGATGATTTATAAGGAGAGTTTTTAGATGAATAGGAAAAAAATTAGGAATGAAAAAAAGAATATATAATTAGGAACTAAATCAATGGAAAATTTTGAAAGGAAAAGAAAAAAAAAAATTATACTTACCTGTCTTTTTATGTAAATCGCAATAAATATCTTCTTCATTAGCTTTTCTATAATTAAAAAATAATAATATTTTAAAAGATTTATACTGTTAATAACTTTTATACAGATATTAAAACTTTATCATAATTTTCTTAAATATTATCATGAACAGTTTTTTAAAAGAAGATTAAAATTATTTACCTTATTATTTGAAAATGATTCAGGGTGATTATTTAACAACGCTTCACGAAATTTTACAAAAGAATAATACCTTATCTCTGTTTTTGTATTTTTGCAACAATAATAATTCTTTGTTAAGTTACTCTTTTAGTAGTGAAAATTAATTTCTAGTATTATCCCTTATTCATTAAACTATCATTAAGTTTTGTTTTTTTTTTTCAAATAACGATACTAATAATATTTTTGCTTCGATGCGAAGCTTAGCAGGTATTAATTTTACTATGATGTGTTTTTTTTTTTCTGTTACCACTTTTTCTCAGCTATCACCGAACTGATTTCTTTCAACGATACGTCAAAAGATCACAAATGGTATCTAGTCGAAGACATTACCCACAAAATATAAACATTTTGCCTTCATTCCCTGTAAATAGATAAAATCTCCCCAAAAATTACGATTTTTAAAATCGGTAAATTTTGACATTTTTTAACATTTTTTTTTTTAAAATTGCCCTAACTTATTTAAAAATGAACGAATCAAAATAATTGTATTGAATATTGAAACCATAGAAATAGTTCTACTTTTTACTCGTATTTTTAAAAATTTAAAGCCCCCCTGTAAAATGGGAAATGGTCCTATTTACAAAAAAAGTATGTCGGATAAACGATATATATAGTTTATTTAGAAACAAAAATTTGTAGTTATAGTTATAAAAGTTATAGTAATTTAAAGTTGAAAAAATAAACTATGTAATGGTAAATTTTAACATCAAAATTACATGTTTTTTATCTACGGCAACCATTTTCACATAGAAAATTAGACGTTGGGACAAATTTTTTTTTGAACTTATAGTACATAACATTAGCTATATTTTAGCATATGTTTGAAGCACGGAGTATTTCCAGAACATTTTCAATACTCAAGTTGAAAAAGTTAAATTTTTGTGCAGAAGATGCTATTTTGAGTACTCCCCTGTGGGCATATAAAGGGTCAGATTTTCAAAAAATTTATATCAATTATTAACGATACTAATAATATTTTTATTATCAGATTTGATTAAGTAATAAAAATTTTTTTTATTAAATTCTCTTTGAATTACTTGTCTTTTATTCAAAGGAATTGAGAAATAATAGTTTATGTATACTAGCGTGGTGCTAGAAAACAAATTTGTAAAAATTGATCAATACACCCCCACANTTTGTAAAAATTGATCAATAATTAATTAATACACCCCCATATATTGTTCGAATAGTAAAAAAAATAAAACCTACCAAATTTGGACATGATAAATCAACTTTAACACGTGCCACAAGAGGGTTGAAAATCGAGCCTGAGGGGTTGTTTTTCAGTTTTTTGAACTTAACTCAAAATCTATTAAACTTACAATAAAAGTTAATAGAACTTAATTCTTAAACCTAATTATTTTTTTATTTTTTACTGAACATTTTTTTTTTTTTTATATTAAGTATAAAAATATTTCATCAACAATAAAATGTTTCATACAAAAGTTACTTAAAATTAAATTTGCTAAATTTAAGTTCTTATACATTTTTTTGTAACTTTAATACTTTTCGTGGCGAGCTGAGTTTTATAAGAAATAATAATGATGCATTATTGGGTCTTATGATAAACGGCAAAATAAAATCGTATTTTTATAAGTAATTTTCCCTTATTTCATATTAAAATTAAAAATGTTCAATTTTTAAAAATTTAACGACGTTCGTTTTTTTAATAGAAGTGATACAGCTATATATGATGATGCCTTCTGGTATCTAATTTTGGAGTGATATCGTAATTACTTATCAACTGAAATATCAATGTACAAATCATGTATAGTACACCATCCCACATAGCAATGAAATATTTCTAGAATATTCCTAGCATATTTATTTTTGATATTAAAATATTTCTAGAATATAACCAAAATATTTTGAAATATTCTCAGAATATACTTTGGCAGCGAATATTACATTCTCACAATATTTTAAAGGTATATTTCTAAAATATTATAAAAAAAATATTGCAAATAATAGCAACAAGGTTTTTTTTACTGTTCCTGACTTACTTAGCTTAATTGAATTAGTTTAATGAAAATTGATATTAATTAGAGAAAATGGCTGTTTACTTATTAAGAATTTAGGAATATGTATATATAATACATAAGTATTATATAACTAGATACCAATAACATCCAAAAATGTAACTAATGGGAGAAAAGAGGATGGCTTGTGTCTCTTAAGTTACTTCAGTTGGCCAACAAGATAATATTTAAAAAATTATATTGATAATATATTCAACAAATATTTCGAGTTAAATATTCTATATTTATTCTAATTAATATATTTTCATAATATTTATAAGCAAATATTTAAAAAGATATTTTTTAAGCACATTGTAGAAATATTTTCAGTGTAATATACTGTAT